TCATATAATATACTAATATATTGTATGCTTAAACCTTTTAACCTATAATATCATAAAATCATGTAAAGTTATTGGATTTCTTTAATGTCTCCAAAGAAAGAAATATTATAAAACTTTTAAAAATCATGCTTTTAGTCCTCTTTTGTAAAACCATTTTATTTTGTCTGTTTTCAGTTGAAGTCCCTTTCTTCTTGTAGATGATTAACAAAACATTTATTTACATGTTTCTTGGAATTTGACTCATTTTTTAGAGTACTTTTAAATTTCTGTTCCATAAGCTACTTTTCTTGATATTAATGTCCTTGATAAAATCAACACCTCCTATTCAGTCCTCTAGACTTAAAACATTACCATTAACTTTGGCTTGTCTCTTTCCCAAAGGAATCACATCCAATAAACTTCCAAGTCAACCTCTTTCATTAATGTTTCACACTGTTTTCTTCTTCTATGTTTGATTTCTCCTATCCTAGTGAAGAACCTCATTATCTGTTCCATAGGTTGTTGCAGTAATCTTAACTAGTCAAATTTCCAGTGTTTTCTTATTTCAAATAATTTTTCACTTTGCTAAATGTAGTCTTATTAAATGGAGAGTTCTTGCATAAGACTTAAAGTCCTGTAACATTTCTTCATCCATAGAAATACACAATCTTTAATATTATCCTTGCTTCTGGTCTCTGGGTCTTGTTCAATATATATCTGCCTGTCAATATTACATATATACTGCCCTATGAAATTTTCAGCTTGAAAGACGTTGAATTACTCATCATTTTGATGGATAATCTTAAATGTCCATCATTTTTGCAAAGGCTTTGCTATAGGGTGGAAAAAAACATGGATTTTTGGTAATTGAAAGGCTTTCAAATTCCAGTTATGAAATAAACTACTGGCACTCAAGAATTAATGTGTGTGAGTTCAATTGTCCATTAACTGTGGAAAGTATCTGCCTTGCAGGGTTACTGAAGATTAAATACGAAGGGTCTAGTGAATACACATTCACAAACTGATAGCAGCTTTTCAATATTTGTGAGTTCTCCTTCTTAAACATCTCCTTGAAGATGGTGTTCCTCTGATCAGTGATATATTCCTGTATTCTCCTACTAAATATTCCAGTTTTTGCACCTGCTCCTGGAAAATAGATTTAATTCTTCTTCTTTTTTTTTACATTTAATTAATTTTCTTCCTCTGTTCTCAATTCATGTTCTTTTTATAAAACTTTATTGCTATATACTATATACAAAAAGTTGCACATATTTAATCTGTATATTTTGATGAGGTCATACATATGCACATGTCCATGATATCATCACCACAAACAAGGTAATAAGCATATCCATCACCTCCAAAAGACTTCTTGTGCTCCCTGCTTTTTTTGTGATAAGAATACTTAGCATGAGTTTGTGCACTTAAAAACTTGTTAAGAGAGAAGAAGCACATTACTGAAGGTGCCTTTTAGCACTTATTGAATTCTGTTTTATAATTAATTTTAAAGAAGGCCTTAGAGAGGTGGAAAATTGGAGGTGATATTATTGAAAGCAAAAATAAACAAATATGCAGAAGAGACAAAATGCAGAAGAGTTTAGGAAATGGAAGTATTCGGTACATATTGTGGGTGGCCTAGGAGGTGATGGTGGTTTTTGGGGAGGTGCACAATGTGGTGGTTGACAAGGAAGAGTAATGAGAAATATATTTAGAGACCCCTTAATGCAGTGGATTTACTTTCTTACTGTGTGAAAAAGAGTGAAACCTTAGTTTCACTTGATAATAAAAGTGAAATCTTGGGCCATCCCCAGTGGCCTAGTGGTTCAGTTTGGCACGCTCCACTTGAGAAGCTCAGGTTCTGTTCCTGGATGCAGACTTACACTAATCGTCTCTCAGTGGCCATACTGTGGTGGCAACTCACATACAAAAAGAACATAGGCAGTGGATGTTAGCTCAGGGTAAATCTTCCTCAGCAAAAAACAAAGAAAGATGAAATCTTAATATATATATATTCCTTAACTCTCTATGTTAAATAATTAAACTCTGTATGTACCATGCTGGAGTCCAGCCCTGGCAGAGTCCAGGTTCCCATGGGAGAGATGGCGTCAGCAAAAGTGTAAGTGCTAGACGTGAGACTCGATGCAGTTGCAAGCAAGTCCACTTTATTTCGGGGACAGGGTACACTTATATAGGAAAAGATCACACGAGGTGGTCTAACTATTGTCGTCATGGGAACAGTAGGTGAGGGGCAGTGCGTGACTAAAGGTGATAATCAAAGGTGGTTATCTACATACCAGATGTGCAGCATACATATCGATTGTTTAGGAAGAGGTTACATAGTTTCAGGGTCTTCAAAGAAGATAGGAGGACAGCGAGTATATAAATTAACGGAATATAGACCCCCTCATCCTTGGGGGTTGCTGTTTGTTCTTTGAGATATGTTTATTGCTAGTTCTGCCTGTTTTTACAAGGCTTCCAGGACAGAGGGAAGACGTTAATCAGTAACAGGCTTTAGAAAGGAGGACAAAGGACTCTGCTTAAAGAATTATGTTCCCTGGAGAAGTGCCTTGCACGATTCTCCTTCCATTGCCAGACCTTGTCACAATACAATGGCAGCTAGATTGGGGGAATGCTTCCCACAGTACCAGGCACTGAGACATCAAGATCAATAGTTAAAAACTGACACACCAGAAAGGGTTAGCATTTTTTTCCTTTTCACATTATGCCAATATTAATGAACATAGAGACTTTAGTTTTATGTAGAATACATTCTTAAGTGATTAACTTTTCAATGGACATTTAGGTTTCTTTCTTTTTGTGAGGAAGATTCACCCTGAGCTAACATGTATTGCCAATCTTCCACTTTTTGCTGAAGAAGATCTAGCCCTGAGCTACCATATACGCCCATCTTCCTCTATTTTGTATGTGGGGTGCTGCCACAGCATGGCTTGATGAGTGGTGCATAGATCCACACCAGGGATCCAAAAACTGTGAACGCCAGGCCACTAAAGTGGAGTGCATGAACTTAACCACTAGCTACCAGGCCAGACCCTTAGTTTTCATTTTGTGTTTAAGATTACTGTATAAATACTTTTGCTCAGGTAAAAATTTCATCATTTAATCAAAATGTGCTGTTGTTTTGAAAATAAACAACAATCAGATATAATATCAGATTGAGATTAATATCAGATTAAGACAGTAGTTATCCATTTTTCTATCTAGAGTCTGCTTCTCAGACGAAGTCTGACATACTTTCCCCATTCCATATATCTAACCCTTGTCCACCCCACTCTCATGGCCCATTGGCCTCTGGGACTCCTCTAAGGCACTGAAATTCTGAGCATCACAATTTGAAAAGATATTGCACTTGTATTAGTCATAAGGCATTTGTTAAACTAGAATCCTGATTTGCATTTATTTTGATCATCTCCCTTGGAGCAAGATACACTTAGCGCTTTGTAGTTATTATGCTATGCAGATCTGTGGATATCTCTAGTGTGGAGAAAATCATTGTTAAACTTTTTTGATATCTGTCTTAAAGACTTTCCCAAATGCATGTCTGCATTTTTGTTATCTTTAGAACTAGGGGTTAAAATGCTTTGCTGTTGTCCATTTGTTCTTAAGGAAGAGGTCACATATTTGGAAAAAAAATTTTTGATTACCTTCTTTAAAGGCAACCTGAAGTTTTCTCATGCTTTATATCAAGGGTAGAACACACTTTCCCCTTCAAATATAATAAACAAAGCTTCTCAATGGTTAATGAAGGTATCCTTCATGCTGGAATATACTGAACGTATATGACCTGAAATTGTGAAGTCATATACTACAAATAAAACAGTTCTATAACTTCCTGCTACCACTAATCTTAGTATTCTTGATCCTGAGGTTTTTGTATATAATTCACTTAGGAAGTCCTAATTTTTTAGAGCCTAAATGTTATTCACACTTCTGAAATGTGTAACCTTTAAAGGCTTAGAAGGAAGTATACACATTACTGAGTCCAGGAAAGAGCATAATTTAAGAAAGCAGCCAGAACAACTTTAGCCAGTCTACAGTCTGTAGCTGAGATTTTGACACAATATTGCTGGTTTTGCCCCCCAAACTGAAAATTACTATATTTCTCTGCCTGCAAGACTAAGTTAGATGAAGAATATCTTAACAATGATCAACAAAAATGATCAGAGATATTATTTACATCACAGAGATTTTATTGTCATGATTCTTTGTGTGTGTGTGTGAGTAAAAATTAAAAACATTTTCAGGCAATCAGCCAGCAATTAGCCAAATTTTAAACTTACTTAGAATTTTTCCAAAGTAAATATACTTAAGTCCATCTGACTCAAGAACTGGACCAGCACCTGATGCTCTACTATTTTTCAGAGTGAATCTGGGTTTTAGTTGACTCTTGCTCAATATAACATACAATTCTCCTTGAAATAATTCCATTGATCATGCCAGAAGACATGCCAGGAAAGCACAAATGACATCTTGTTTTCCTTACAATTGTGCATTTCTTTACTACACAATGCCATGTTGATTTCTCGCAATATTAATTTACACCAAGTAACAATAAAGAACCATTAATTTGCTCCCCAAGATTGTAACTAATTTTATGAAAACGTTTTAAGTTTTAGGTGTGAATCCTAGAAGTAAGTTCAGTGCTTTTAACTTTTCATGATACAGATTCTGAGCTTCATTTTCATCCAAGATTTACATCAACCAAAAGATACTCATATTGTTTGTTGAGATAATCAAATTGCTTTCCTATCCAGAAATACAAATGATTCCCCTCTCATATTGATTCTACAATTTCAAAAGGCATTTCTGGCTTTTTCAGTTAGGCACAGACATATTTCCAGATTTTGGCTCATTATTAATATCCTTTCTTTATTCTTTCACTGAAACAGAAGGCTCTCATTTATGATAAAGGAATGTTAAGAAACTTATCCACACGTTTTGTCCCTATATTTTATTCATTTTAATATTTAAAGACAAATTAATTAAATTATGAAACACTGAACATTTGTTCATTAAACAAGAGTAACAATGAATATTTTATGAAGAAATAGACTCTACATAAATTGAGGTTGATAAACTTACGAGATCATGGTTGTTCTAAAATATAGAGTGCCTCACACTGGATATTCATTGCAGCCATGCTGTCCACTTAGACATGGGCCACTCATTCAGAGAATGATGAAGTGTTTCTCAGGTGACACTGTGATAGGAAGTCCACTAATAAATGGTTGCCATGTTATTTTATGAAAATTTGCTTGAACTCATGAACTTATATTATAATTTATATTATTACTTCTTTTGTTACTATTTAATGCAGTTACTAAATTCAGTATACCAACCAGCATAGAAATATTTTAAATATATTTGCAGAAACAGAGTGCACTTACTAGTGAATCTGAGCCCAGTATCATCCTTAACTAACACCATTATAAAGAATATGAGAAACGTGAGTTATTTTGCATGAAGAACACCTAGCATGAGATTTTGGGAAATAGGAGACAAGAATGAGTTACTAGAGAAATCCCAATAAACCTACTCTTATTGTTAAATAATTTCATTTGACATCCACTATCACTTTGAAGTGAAAATGCTCCTCACCAGTTTGCCCAGTGCCCCCTTTACATCCTTATTCCGCAGGGTGTAGATGAAAGGGTTGAGTGTAGGAGTCACCACTCCATAGAAGAGAGCCATGAACTTGGGCTGGTCCCTTGAGATGGAGGAGGGGGGCTGAAGGTACATGCTAATGGCTGGACCATAAAATAAGAAAACGACAATGAGATGGGAGGAACAGGTCCCAAAGGCTTTTATCCTTCCCTCAGAAGATTTAATTTTGAATACAGCATGTCCAATACAAGCATAGGAAATAAGAATTAAACATAGCGGAACAGCTAACATAAAAATGCATACCACCGACAGTGTGAGTTCATTAGCACCCTTTTCACCACAGGCATTCTTTATTAGAACAGGAATCTCACACAACAAGTGATCCAGGGTATTGAGACCACACAGTGGTAACTGCAATGTAACAGTGGCCTCGGAGACAGCGTAGGTCATTCCGCACAGCCACACAGTGGACACTGATAGGATACAGACACGCTGATTCATGACGAGGGTGTAGTGTAGAGGCTTGCAGATGGCCACATAGCGATCAAAAGACATGATAGCCAGAAGCAGACATTCTGTGCCCCCCATTATGTGGAAGAAATAAAGTTGAGCTGCACACCCCACATAACTTATTGTCTTCTTAGCGCTTCCCAGGTTAAACAGCATCTGAGGGACAATGCTTGTGGTATAGCACATGTCCAAAAAGGAGAGGTTAGTGAGGAAGAAATACATGGGGCTGTGCAGACGGGGGTCTAGCTTGGTCACCAGAATGATGGCTATGTTTCCCATCATGGCCATGGGGTATGTTATAAGAAGAATAACGAATAGAGGAAGCTCTAGCCAAGGACGGTCAGCAAAGCCCAGTAGAATAAACTCTTCAGGATGGCTTTTGTTAATTAGTGCCATAATCTTCAATTTGTTTCACCTATAGTAGGGAAATGGAAGAAAAGGTGGAAAGAGTTATGAGAAATGACACAGCATAACTATGCATTGGCCATCCAGTCATAGAATATGGATTACAGTAACTTGCGGGGGAAATGGTAAAAAGGATGTGACACCAGGTGACTTAATTTCCCTTTATGACGCTACATAATAAAGGCAATTACCTTAAACAAGTAGCCTAACCATTCTGAAACTGAATTTTACTCTTCTGTGTAATAAGTATAACAATAAGTATTTCCTGGGTTATAGTTATGATTAAATGACAGGTAGAAACAAATTTGTTTTGGAAACTCCAAAGCAATGGTTTGCAAGGCGTGCCAGCATAAAAATCAGCTGAGAAGGCTGTTAAAATGCAGTTTATTGGTTCCTATTTCCAGGTGTCTGATACTGTAGATGTGGCATGGGGCCAGGAATCAGATGTTTGGTTTTCAGAAATGCTGCTGCAAGGCATTACTGAAACATTAAAAAGAGTAAAACTATTGAGTATCCATAGTAGAAGGAGGAATACAAAACCTGGAGCTCTAAGAATCAAGATAACCTTGGCAAGATCCATTACATTTAGCTGAATTATTACATCATCTCCATAGGGAGTAAGAAGGATGGTTTTAGAAAAAACCATCTCAATAATTTGGACTTGATCAAGAAATTTAAACACTTTCTCATCAGTTTCTGGAGTTTAAACTAGGAGATCTGATGTTTTCTCAAACTCAAACTCAAACTGAGCATTTGATTTTTTATGTTAAATTTTAATTTATCTATCTTTTATTAATTTCTCTTTATTGAGTGAGTGTATCATTTTTTTTACATAAGAGTTTGGACAGTTATTAGTAATTCACTTGATTGTATGTAGCTACACATACATCTTTTAACCCTAGAGAACTGGTTTAGGAGAAAAGTCGATATTGCTATTTAGGACCAGAAGCTTATTCATACCCACAAATTATTTTAGATATTTAAAACATGTATATATATATACATATATATATATATATATATATATATATAAGCTCTGAGATACATTGTAACAACAAAATCAGCTAGCTGTAAAGCGTATTTTGAGAAAGATTAATTAGGTAATGCTTTCTGTTTATACTTTATTTTTACTTTAGTACTGTGGTATCTTTCATGAAATTTATAATCTTCTGTAAAATGAGGGATATTCAGAAGGGAAGTTAAGATGGTGCATCCCAGTGACCAAATTCTGTGTTACCCAATCAGTCAATTAGCAGTTAAAGGGTAACATTAATTTTGTAGGGTTGCAAGACATAGTTTCCACATTCTCTATTCATTAAATCCTCAAAGGCATCTTGTGAGGTGTCACATCAAGCTACTCAGGGGTAAGATGTGAATGTTGTCCTTTGATTACATGATATCCCTAGGTCAGAAGTGTGCAATACAATAATAAGATAGTAATAATTCCAACTAATCCTTAATGAGTACTGTGCGACAAACATTACAGCAAGAATTCATACCCATTAATCATTTGATATCCATCCCCAGACCCTATAAAACAGGTAATTCTAGTTTCTATATTTTAAGACATTGTTAATCATTCATTTCTACTGTCTGCTAATAACTAAGGAAGTTCTAAAGATCAAAAATCAGTCAGTTCCTTAAATAAGGTAGTGAGATAATGAGATTATAAATTCAGAGTTTAGAGATTCAAAGAAAGCATCAGTGCTGTAGGGATGTTTCCTGAATGAATGTGTTCCCTATACCTTAATCGACTTTGACATTATTCAGAATCTTACATGAGCACATTGAATTTGGGAGGATAGATTGGCATAAGATTTTTTCAGGTGAAAATTCTATGTTTAGATGAGATATGAAATAAAAACATATGCATTAATTTGATTGCTACAATAAATATTCTAAAAATTGCAATCTACTCATATTATTAAATAACTGACACAAAAGATATGTATTATTTATACATATAACATCATTATACTCACCTTTTAGATTTTTTCACTATGAAATATTTTTCAGTTTTTTAAAGAGTAATTTAAATCTGATTCTTCATGAATTTCTCCCTAGTTAATTCTATCTAACTCTAATGACAGTGATCAGTCAAGTATGTTTTCTGTAATTTTATTAAATTTTATAAATGTATTATTTATGATTTTGTGCATCTTATTCACCTTACTAAGGGTAATTTTGTTTGTGAATGGTGATCAGCCCGGGAGGCTCTTTCATTTCTCTATTTCCCTAGATACACTTCTGCAGGTGTGCTTAATCAATGTGATTTACAATGAATGTATATTTAATAGCTATAATTCTGTCCTTAGATATCTAAATCTTTTCCATGTCATTCTCATGATGTTTCAATACTTCTAGCTCTTTGATCCCAGGACTTTTGGGTTTTTTTACTTGCAGTGATTTCTCATTACTATTTCTATTTATCCGTGATCCATTTATCCATGAATGTTAAAATCACTTTAATAAAATGCCAAACTCTATTCCTTTGGACATTTCTACTGTATCTCCACTCACATTTTCATTCTATGTGTATCTCATTTATATATCGTTTTCATCATGCAAAGTATTTTATTAAAAGTTATTTTTATCTGACATCAAAATATTCAGATGAGACACGTGGGTAAGTTGTCTATCACGTTTCGACCATGTATTAAAAAAACTTCACATGACTGAATGAAAGCTTCACACTTCATTCAAATATTTTTCATCTTTCTTATATAGTATTTACTGAAATTTATAGGCTTTTAAGGTTGGTTTAAATATGAACCAAAGAGATTGATTATAAAAAGAGAAATGTAGTTGCTTTGTATAGCCACAGAATTAGGTACTTCCAAAGTTTATAAAACGCTCCCTGAAATGAAATGCTCTGTGCTTTTTCTATGTATATTAGGAACTATGATGTATACACATTCCACCTTCCCCTAAGAATGTGCGGCTTTTAGAACAAGGATCTTCTTACTCACCTTATTTTGATAAATATCATTCAATAAAAAGGAATGAAGGATTACACATGAAGTTTTCAAGTTTTCAAAGAAGGACAGAGAAGTGTAGCACACAGATGAATATTTAAGAATTATCTTCAGAAGTGTGAGTTTTTCATTTGATATAATTCTGCCAGAGAGAAAAAAGCATGAGTTAGGAAGACTATGGTAGATAATATCATGAATGCTTTGTGAGTGTGCTATTTGTATTATATTCCCGAGACTCTTGGGTGCTGTTTCAAACAGGCCATTTATGCTTACCCCAGATGAGTTAGCTGAGCAAGTTCCTTGGGACAGAGTTCTCTATGGACATGCTTCTAATTGCAATTAGTTACCTAGTGACTTGAGGTTGGTAGCAAGTCTCTTCTGTTAGATTTGCCTTAAAATAGACTCATTTGAGTTTCTAACACACTGGACACTAATTTTAAATAGAATACAATTAGAGTAAACCTAATTTCAACAAATGAATCTGGCGAGTTTAAATGTGAGTTACTTGAATATCTTATTTTGTTCATTTGTGAAATATCTCACATAAAATTCAATTACTTCTGGTCATGCAATAAAGGAGTACAAAATGAGTTGGGATGAGAAGAAAAAACAATAAGTGGTCTTTCCAATGAGAAAGAATCAAGTGATATTTAAAACAAAACTTTCAAAATATGTAATGATTCTATAACGAAACGACTAAATGGCAGCCTCTCTCTGTCTTCCTCTCTGTCACCATAACAAACACACATAGCCCACATAATATTAATCATATATGTAGATGAACATTAATATTTTTAAAATTACACACAGTCCATGAATATATTATTTTTAAAAACAAATTCAAATATACAAATAGTAGGTACAAATGTATAGGTTGTCATTTGACAACCTCCTCCTATGGTCCATAATCACTCTCCTTTCCCTAGTAGTAACCACTACTATCATATGGGTGTGCTTTCCACATTACACATTTGCTACATATTTTCCACACCCTCTACTCTGCCCCAGATCCAATTTTCTACCCTACTATGTATGTTTCTACCCTGTAGATGTGCTGTATCTCAAGAGGCTGAATCAAGAGGATTCATTGATCTGACTTCTGGTTGGGTTCCACCAGTTGAGAATGACTAGTTGAACAATAGTATGGAGTATGTTCCTTTGTCCTTAACCTACAGTCCAAGAAATGAAGAACCAAGAATCAGGTATTTAAAAAACTGTCATTAAGTAATTGGGACCACATATAGTAAAGTATCGTAGAGCAAAAAGTTTTTAAGAACCTAAAAAACATATCTTAGTTCTTTGAACCGTCTTGCACTATGGAAATCTTATAGTTTGGGACACCTTATGAAGCATCCTGTTCTTTTGACCATCTAAATTTTTTAAAACTTTTCAATTTCTGTTTCTTTTTCTCCCTCTTGTGCTTTCAAAACTTATGAGTTCTCTTTTATACGTATAAACTTTATTTCCTTTGAAATGCTATAATTATAGCACATATGATGCTAAATCCTAGCTTCATCAGGCTGGTATTCTATTTAATTTGTAATCTAAAAAGACACTATTTACCAAAAATTCCTCCAAAGATTAACAGAGATGTTATTTTTTTTTGTATTGTACTTTTTAAACCACTACACAAACAGCGCAATTTTATTGCAGGCAGGGCTATCAGTATAAATTTTTCTCACTTTGTGAATGAGGAAGCTGCAGGGAAGGAGATACGTGACTTGTCTAACTTAAGCAACTTTTATTAGACAAAATCAGGGTTCTGGCAATAGATTTTTAGCTCTAAGCTCCCTTCTTTTCATCAAAAACACTCAAGGTAAGCTACAAGCTCTGAGATTCTCTCGTTGCCGATCCTAAACCTCTGACCAACATTTGGTGCACTGGCACAGCAGGTATGGTTTTGGGCCACAGGCAACTTTACTGAAGAACTAACAGTGAAGCCAGCCTTTTCCCAGCTAAGAATGGAGGCTAAATGCACTGAAGCACTAGCTTCTTCTTTACCCCAGTAAATTTCTCCTCTTCATTCAGATGGATGTCTCTCAAACTCTGTCCACTTCATCTTATACTTAGTCCTGTGCAGCATATTCCCTGTACTCATGCTCAATTATCTCTTCCTATTGTGTCTCAGTGGTACAGGA